AGGCGAATTTTGATCTGTAAAATAAATTGGGTGGAACTTTCTGAACTTAGCCTTAACATTATCTGCTAATTCTTTGTAAAATTTTTTAACATCTTCTGGTTCATCCCTCCATGATTTACTTGCTAACAGAGGGTTATTTTTAGAATTTTTTGGTGCTTCGTGAATATAAACCATTCTATAAATAAGAAAGGAATTTAACGTTTTATTAACGTTAATAAGACCTTTTTTCAAATGAATTTTGACTATTTTGTCAACGGTAATTGACGGTGGAAATGAAGGTTTACGAGGGTCAATATTTTCGGTCATTATTAGAAAATTAGGAATATTAATGTTTAATTTTAGTTAATCGAAAACCCGAGACAGATAAGAAAAGGCTCATTAATTTATAATTATTTGTTGCTTATGTATGGTTACTCGTACGCGCTTTTCTTTGTAACTTTTAGATTCTTTTGTAGGCTACAGAATGTTTGTTTAACAAACAATCTATGTATGGGCGACCCATGTACAGATATGAACACGAAGATTTTATTAAAGTGGAAATGTAAAAGAAACTTGTTCCAAATGATGTAAAAAATAATGAAAGAATTTTCAACGTTTGGGTAATATTTACAATAAACAAATGTATCCCCTGTAAGATAGCAATGATGCATATACTATATGTAGTTAAAGTTTCTGTATGTGGCACCACTATCCAATTGGACTTTACCTCTAAATGTTATATAATGATTTTCTATTATTGGAAATTACCTGTTATTTTTTATATTATTTATTTAAATTAAATATGTATTCCAATATATAGGGTGTTGCAAAAAAAAAAATAACAATTTATATTTTTATTATAACTTAATAAAAACTAACAAAATAAAATAAAAATTTTAAACAAAATTTATAAATAAATTACTTAAAATTATTTTATTATTTAATTTAATATTTTAATCTATCAAAAAAATTTTGTTTAAGTTCTATTTAAAACAAATAATTTTAATAAATATTATATTTATATATTTTTTGTTTTTTAAATAATTATAAAAAATAAAAAATTGTTTATATTTATATTTAAAATTTAAAAGTCATTACAATATATATACAGTATATATATATATTATAATTTTTTTTTTAAAAAAACTTTTTTATATATAATATTTTTCTTAAAAACTTTCTTTTATGCTAATTTTTAAAATTAAAGAAACAAATATCTTTTTTACCTTTTTATATTCAAAAGTCTTATATACTTTTTTTATATTCATTACAAGAATTTCAAAGAAACTAAAAAAGCATATTGATATATTGAAATAAGACTTTTGATCAAGAAAAAACAAGTTTGAACATTCTGCTTTTTTTTTTTTTTTGTAAATAAACATCATTTCTTTATTTGATTTGTATATAACAAGATATACATCATAAAAGAAACAACATCTCTCATATATTAGTACAATGAGTTAAATGCTAGTTTGCCTATAGTAACTATATAACTAATATTGAAAAGAAAGTTTAAAACAATATATCTTGCCATATAGTACTGAGCAACTATAAATATCTATTTAGTATTAGAAGAAATAATATATGATAAAGATGAAATTAGATTTTGAATACATTTGAAAGAATTATAATTATATTGGACAAAAGTATTAGTAACTATTATTGGAAGATCAATAGTGATTTTATTTTGTGTATTATTAGAATGTAAGTTTTTTGCAAAGTCAGTGTAATCTCTTTTTAGTTTAGTCAGGTTGGCAATATTCAATAGTTTGTTTGAGTTTCACTTAATACCAGTGGAAAACATTCTGCTTTTTTTTTTAATTGTATAAAAAAAAACCTATAACAATTGTTTTTTTACAAATTTTTTTGAAAATTTTTTTTATTTCTATTTTTTATCAATATATATTTCTTATTAAATAAACAATTTTTTTTCTTAAAGATTGTTCTTTTATTCTAAAAATTAACTTTATATTAAAATTGTTTATATTGTTGATTTGAAGCACTAGTAGTATATTCAATATATATTTCTTAATATTGCTTAATATATATTGCTATACTATAAAAATTTAAGAATTTTTGCATAAATTTCTTATTCAAAAACTATAATTAGTTTACTTTTATTAACTAATTAACATTTTGAACTTAACCAATCAAACCAATATATACGTATTGTTAGCAGAAAAATATGTAGATGGGTTGGGATCGGCGCAGGTCATGTGGTATGGCGCGATGCATCAGATCATG